ACATCAAAATATGGGTGGAAAAGGTGAAACACCCACACCTCCCTCCACCCTCATTCGCCCCACTCTGGGCCCCTGAGCAAGGCCCTTAACCCCCACCATCTGCTCCCTAAACAGTTCTCTCTTGAAAATGAGTTCTCGTGGCTCACTGAGACTACATGGATAAATTAAAGGGTAAATGAAAAAAAAAGAGAGAGAGAAAAACAGTAGTCCCTCGTTTATCGCGGGGGATCCATACCCTGAAGCCCCGCGATAAGTGAAAAACTGCGAAGTAGGAATAGTAGTAAGTAGTACTGTAGTTTATAGAAAGGCGTTTTAAACCCTTGCAATATTCTAATCCGTGTTTCTAAACTAAACACTCTACAAGAGCACAGAATATCTTGATTTCAGCTCTCTGCCTCCTGCTACACTCTGCCATCTTGGCCACGCCCACTTCTGCTGAAGAGCGGAGATCAGCTGATCAGATGCAGGATGAAGCTTCTCCTGCAGCTGTGGGCTGCACACAGGTGCTAAATAATTTTAAATAATTTATTTTAAATAAAAATTCCATTCCGACCGTGCGGCTCATCCATCAATCAGCCAATTGTCGTATCCAATCCTACTTTGAAAAACCACTATAGAGCGAGTCTGTGAAAAACGAACCACGAGGGACTACTGTAACTATAAATTGTCATCCATATATTATAACAAAACTAGCTAATGTTTAATGCCTATTCCTGATTAGATTTTTTTTTTTTTTACATTTCGAGATTAGTGAAGAAAGTTAGTGGTCAATAGCCACTCTAGATATGCTTCCAAATGTAACCAGTGTGATTGATAAATATACTTAACTTTATTTTTTTGTGATCTGTGTTTGTAATTGATCTGTTGTTTTTGTTTAACCAATAATAGTCTGAAAGAGACTCTGTCTGACACTTAGTTTAAAAAATGTTGTATCACAGCAGTTTGAGAATAAAGAGCAGAAAGAAGGGTAAAGTTTGAAGTTTAGCGAGCTTAAAAAGCATTGAGCCCGAGTGTAGAAGCAAAAGATATTTTCACATAATCAACGATTTAATGTATAACTCAGGGACTGAAGGGTTTTTTTTTTTTTTCCCCAGATCTTATTGTTATGTCTTTAATAAATCACCAGGGGGAGACACAGACTTAGAGACGAGAATCTGAACCAAACCAATTTAATCTCAGCTCATTACCTCCTCACTTCTGACATTGACTTGTTGATCTATTTCAGTGTAATTCCACTCCGGCTGAAGTTACCTTAGAAACTTTAAAGTCTTGTTTATACTTTTTAAATGTCCACAACGTGCTAGATATTCCTTTTATACGTTTCTTTTCCAGCTGTTAGTCCTTCCTTGAGAGAGTCCACTTTGAAGACGGTTCCCCTGGTGGTCAATGTTCAGGATCTCAAGGACAAAGGGCTGCCTGTTCCAGTGCCTTCCATCATCAGGTAGAAACAAAAGGTTTATATTGCATGCAGCGTGAATCTTCTACAAGTGACGGGTCATAGATTGTATTGTTGGATAGACTTTAATCCATTTGACTAAAGCAGGTTGTAGTTTTAATTGAAACAAAGTTAAATCTTGCTTATGTGTGGAACTATTTAACATGATTCTGAACTTTTCACCCATCTGGCAGTCTCACTAATGAACAACGAAGATATAATTTGTAATTGTCATACATGCACTCGGTTGTTTACAACTCAGAACGTAGCGATTTGTTTAGTCTGTTTCAGTTAAACTCATTTTGTCTTAAACATAAAGTATCTTGAGTCTTGTAGCACTAAGTCGGGTCTGCTTTCATTCCAGTTTGTTTCTGAAAAAACAAATCCCCATTTTTAAACACAATAAATGCAACAATGTTTTATCACTTTAATAATAATAATAGTAATTTATTCAGGTGTTTCTTGTAAATGAGTCCGAGGCTCAATGGGATTAACCTGTATAAATAAAGTTTGAATGAAAATAAAGCAGCTGCGCCTTTATCACCTGCTGCCGAAAGGCGGAGGCAAACAAAAGTGTTGCTGCTCGTGCACATTTGTGAGCCTGTCTGTTAGCAAAATATGTATTTTTAAACATCGTCTCGCTCTTTTGTTGACCTTGCCCAGCTCCACAGTGCCAGACCTGACAACTCAGACTTTTGCAGCAGTTTCTGCCAACCAAGTGAAACGAGTGAGTGCAAACTGCATTTTTCACCTCGGGGTTTTTGTGTGATGCTGTCACTTTGGTGACTTTTAATAATCCTACTACTTTAAATGCCTCAAGCATACATTATTTTTATTGTTTTGCTTGCACATAATTAATTAAGCAAAAAAGATATAACAGTCCTCACCTTTTATTTTAGTGTTTGCGACACAATAAATGACTTCAGTATGTGTTTAGCAGTTTGCACGCTCTTAGTCAAAGTTAAAGTATGTTCTCTGCTGTCGAGTGCTTGTTCTTATAAGTTTAAAGAACATTTAACATGTGAAACTCCACAGATTGCTGACAGTTTGGCAACTGAAGAGAGAGTATTTGCTACAGGGGTGAGACATGTCTCAAGTTCTTCTCATGTTGATGCTACAAATGGCAGTTGGGTGACAGGAGGGATCCTCACAAATCTTGTTCTTGTACATCCCCCAAAGTTACATGTAACAGGAAGCACCTAAACATGCTGATTTCCCAATCCATGTGTGCATATTCATGCTTTTGAATTTTTTTTTATATGTACCTTAATTAACAGTATAGTTTGGTTAATATAATATAAATGTAGTGCTTTTAGAATAAACTGCATTTTTTTATATAATGACTAATTCAAGTTATAACAGCATTTATATATTTATTTGCAGAATACAGCTGCAAGTATGCAAAAGATGTCCACTGAAAGTGCATCCATCCCACAGATGAGCTTTGTGTTTGGTGAGCAACAATTATTAATTCAATTTATGAATATTTAGGGCCAGATTGTTAAACTCTGTACAAAGTTCTTGCAGGGATGATGCGTCTGATCTGATTATATATGTGCAAGTGCTGTGTAATTAATTCTTTGTGAACCTTGTAAAAACCTTTAAATTTGAATCCACTTTGAGTTGTTGTTTTTTGGACAAAAAGTTTTGCTGACATCCTGAACTTTTTATTGTGAAGGTCCACCATCCAAAACAGATGTTGCTGTGGTTCCTGCTAGTTCAGTGGAGCAAAACAGCAGCAAGCCTTTCTCCTTCACATCAGGGTGAGTTCACTACAACAACGAAAGCAGAAATCTGGTTTGACCTTCCAGATCTACAATCTAGTGAAAGTGTTGTGTGTTGTCATCATTGTATGTTTCTATACAGTGATGAAATTTGTGCTCTGCATTTAACCCATCACACGTCAGGGCAGCTGTGGTGCAGTGGTAGGGCAGGCGACATGGGACCAGAAAGTCACAGGTTCAACTTCCCTACATGCTCACAAGTCATGGTGTCACTGAGCAAGACATCTAATCCCCAACTGCTCCCTGGGTGTGTCTCACATGTGATTGGTTAAATGCAGAGAATTAATTTCATCATTGTATAGTAACATATAATAATGACAATGCATAGCACTTTCACTACTATTGGGTTGTAGACAAAAATCTATAGTTTTATCACAAAGAGCCAGACTAATAAATAAATGTTTGCATGTTCTGTTTCAGAAAAGCCCAGTGTATAAATACTGAATAACCTAACAAGCAGGAATGTTTTTTTTCTTGTTCATAACACTTTGATGGTATCAGCGGAAATAACATGATCATTTCTGCATTTCACTGTGTTGTGGTCTAGCAGTTTGATCAGATCTCTCTTGAAATGACTAAAATCTAAAATTGTCCACTCTGTTGAGTTTGATGGTTTCTGTTTCAGATCATCGAGCTTCAGTTTTTCTTCTGTCACACAAGGAGCTGGAAATTCACAAGGTAAAAACAAAACTCGTAGCTTCATTCTGTCAAGACTAATATAAGATGAAGCATTCATAATGTCGGCTTTCTCTTTCATCTTTCTCCAGTTAAAGATGTGAATAAATTCTCCTTTGGTGGAAATGGCAAAATGGTGTTTGGTCAGATTGGAGAACAGCCATTCTCCCTCACCCCAAAGCCCACCACCTCTAACCTTGGCAGTCAGTCTCCCACTCTGGGTTCAAACACATTGAATGAAGCAGCCAAAACCACATCCAGCACCACTGCTTTAAGGACAGACCCACAACTTCCAAAGACAACAGGAGGAGAGACTCTGGGTATATTCTCTGGGCTACGTGTGGGCCATGGTGAAGAAGTCAAAGATTCTGCACCAAAACCTGCTTCATTTACGTTTGGGGACACTAGTCTTGGCCTGGGCAAGGGAGTGCAGAACTTTAGCTTTGTTGCATCGGACCTATCTAAGGGAACAGCACCGAGCAGTTTGTTCAAACCTCCTGAATCAAACACCAAGCCAGCTTTTTCAGTTCCTCCTCCTACCTCAGCTGCTTCAGCTCTGCCTACATCCTTCAGTAGCCTTCTTGCACCTTCTTCAGAGTCATCAGAGGAACTAAAAGCTCCCCAGCAGCCTTCAGAGCCTACACCACCCCCTGTAGAAGAACCTCCCACTACTAGTGAACCAGCTGTCGAGAGCAGCGGGCAGTTTGTAGCACCAGAGCCTGCTGCAGTGGAGGCAGCAACACCTGCAGCAACACCTGCAGCAACACCTGCAGCTCCTTTGGGCACAACTGTCCCTAACCTAGAGCCGACTCCTACCGTCACTGTAGCAGCTGAAGCAACCCCTCCACCACCAGCCACTGCTCCACCCACAACTGAACCCCCCTCAGATCTATCTTCTGCTGCTTTTGTGTCCACTTCAGCTCCTGCTACAGAGGCCCCTGTCTCCCAGTCACCCCCAGCACCACTCCAGGTGCCCACATCAGACAAACCAGGCTCCATTTTTACTCAGTGTGCTCCTGCAGTAACAGACAGCAGTTCCATCGGCATCACCCCAGTCATCAGCACCGCAGCTCCTGCAGCCACCACTCCCACGGTAGTTAGTAGCAGTGCAACAACTACTGCTGCCAACTCTGTGTTTGGGCAACGTGCTGAACCTCCTGCATCCTCTGCCCCAGCATCCACGGGATTCGGCTCATCTGGGTTTGACTCATCAACTGAAACTAGTTTTGGTAAATCTGTGTTTGGCCAAATAAATGCCTTTGGTCAACCTACCAGTGGTTCTGGGACATCTGCTGGCTTTTCGTTCACCCAGTCTGCATTTGGAGCAACTTCGAGTAGTGCAACTACTGGCTCAAGCAGTCTTTTTGGGTCTGCTACTCCTACCAACGCAAGTTCCTTCTCCTTTGGCACAAGCAGCGCCAACACAGCCAGTAACACAGGCACAGGGCTGTTTGGACAAAGCACAGCACCATCGTTCGGTCAGAGTTCTGGGTTTGGGCAAGGATCTCTGTTTGGGAGTAACACCACCACATCTTCATCTTCAGGCTTCAGCTTTGGTCAGCCAGGTGAGCTGAACTGGGATTTAAATTAGTTTCAAGTTTTACTTTGTTTCTTCTTTCATTTGCTACTTTGTGATATTTAAAAAAAAAATCCTCCAAAGTTTTTTAGTCCTAGTACATTTTTAGTTTGTTATACATCTTTGTCCTAAGACACAACCTGTTTTTTTTTATAAATGACGTTGATATTCGATGCCTTTTAAATGTAGCAAAAGAATAGGTTTCTTAATTTCAAATCGGTAACCCAAATAGAATTACTTAGCTTTCAGTAGTTCCATCTGACAAATGTTTGTTGTTGAAATTATCACCATCTTACATCCCATGAATTAAACTATTGGGTGTCTGAGAGCAATGGGCAATGCAGGAGGATCTGCCAAAATAACATCAATCCTGCTGTTGATTCAGGCCCATTGTCAAACTGTTTCAATGTCATATTTATCTCTAAAGGGTGAAGGCACCTGTTTTTATTTGTAGTATACCATCAGTCTGAGTGAGCAGGAGGGAGTTGTCCCTTTCCCAAACATTCTCAGAGTTCTCAAGGTTGTCTGGGAATGTGTATATGAGCAGCTGATGGCTATGTATGAGCACAACATTTAGATAAAATTTGTCATTCCTGCATACAGACTCACCACGAGGTCTTTGAATTTCAGGATCAACCAAGTCTGTTTTTTGAGAATGAGAAAACTGCACATTGATGGCTCATCAGGGGATTGAACAATTAAAAATAACACATTTTAATGGTTTGTCTTTGGTTTTTGTCAGGTTTTGGCTCCTCTTCTGCCACTTCTGTGTTTGGTCAACCATCTTCTACTGGTACCGTGTTTGGGCAGGTAATGTTTACTCTTTGATTGATGGAGCAACATATGAATTGACATTTAAAATTAAATCCCCATTTTCCTAACCCGTCTTCTGATGTCTCCAAGCAGCAGCAGTCAAGTCTGTTTGGGTCAAGTTCAGCCAATACAGCGGGCTCATCGTCTGGCGGAGGGTTCTTCAGTGGTCTGGGAGGTAAACCGAGTGAAGATGCCACCAACAAGAACCCATTTGGCACCACTGCATCCACTGGCACCTTTGGGCAGGCAGCTCAGACTGGTATGATGCATATATAAGGTTCCCGGGTTCAGCAAAATGCAACAAAATATAAATATATAGATCCATCTCAGTTTTATCCAAAAGAAAATGTATGCCAGTTCACATATTTTACGTTCTCTTGAAGGTTTTTTTTCCTTCATTTTTCTCCTCCAGGTACCAACAGTCTTTTTGGAAATAGTGGAGCAAAGGCCTTCGGTTTTGGCCAGTCCACCTTCGTGGAGCAGAAACCCAGCGGGACCTTCACCACTGGTGCGGGGAGCGTTGCGTGTCAAGGCTTTGGCTCCTTCTCTACACCACAAAAAACAGGTGCATAAATTGTTTCACTTCTTCCTGTTTAGTTTTTAACTTATTTTAAACCTTATTTTATTTTTATGATAAAAGTTTGAATTTTTACAAGATTATTATTATAAAGTGTGTTCATTTTTTTTAAACAAAACAATTCTATATACAATAAGAAATACACTCACAATTAAATTGAAAGGCAGGAAAAAGAAGAAAAATCTTATATCTGCCCATTTTTACCAAAAAATTGATTCAAACAATAATCATCTTCAAATAACAAAAACAAAATATTTCCTTCTCGAGCAATTATTCATGCAAATACACATTAAGCTATTTCTTTTTTTTTTACAAATCAACTTTGATCATGCTCTTAAACATGCACATTGATCTGGCATTTTTAACATCACTCTCCAGATTATTCCATAATCTAATTCTTTGGATTGAAGTAGACCTGCAGCTCAGATTTCCTCAATGGGCTTACCGGTATATATTTTGTTGCTCGCACAAATGATGAAGCAAATGCAAAATCTAGTGTCAAAGTTCATGCTCAATAATCCAGATAAAAATCCAACAATGTTCAGTCAGGTCATCTGGACGTTTTTTTTTTTTTTTTTTTGAGACGTTTCATCCTTCATCCAAAGGACTTCATCAATCCGAGGAGCTACAAACAAATCGAGTCCCACAAGCAGCGCACTCGCATAGTGGACCAACCAGTTTGCTGGTGGTAAGATGGTTTCTGGGGCCCGCTCTCTCCCCCGTTGACTCCTCTGAGGCAACCATAGCCAAAGTGGTTCAAAACACCAAAGTTCATGCTCGGTAATCCAGGTAGATAATCCAACAAAGTTCAGATTCAGACAGGTAAAATCTAGTGGTATTTAGGTAATAGAGGAATTCTATAAATAATTCATACACACTGCATTTGTGTGCGTTTCCAGAAATGAATAGTTCAAAGGTTTGAAGTGGTTGTGGATTTATCATGAAAGAGTCTCCTTTAGGAACAAATTTCCACTCTTGAAAACATTTTAATATTTCAAAAAGTTCACATAAGTTTAAGCTTTAACATCAACATGTTCACTGCAGACCATTACTTACCAAGACTCTTGTTATTTACACCAAAGGCTTTCTGTGCTTGATATGATTAACACGATCTGTCCGTTTTGCAACACGTTAAATATGAAACGAGTTCAAGTCAGACCCTGTTAATTACAGCCAGTTTTGAACAGTGTGGTCCTCGATAACGTGGCCTTTGCTTCCTTTAAAATCAGACTGAACAACAAGTTAATCTGCCTTTTTGTTTCTGTCAGTGGTAACACCTGTTAGTGTTGCTCCTGCTATACTCCAACACTATTTAGATTGGTGTGAATAAAACAAATGCAATGAAAGCCATGTTTACGGCTGTAAGAAACTAACTTGGTGCCTCTCTAAACGGCATGAATTATAAAACGTACATGGAGTTTCTTTCTCTAGATTTCATTTCATTCTAGGTAATTAAAAGCTTTTGACATCTAAGCCATCACTCAGCTACGCTGCCATGTTGCTCGGCACGATAAAGCTCCATCACTGGCCTGTGCAAGAAGAAGAACGTAATCCTGTTACTTTAACTCAATCAATTATTTATAAAAGCGTGCTGCTCGCCAGGCTGTAATTTCAGCACACTCTTTCTCCCCTGCTGCTCAAAGGTTTCAATTGGTGTGAAGTATTCCTCGTGTTAGTCAAAATTTACGTTTCAGAATTAAACAGCACTTCAAGCTTTCATATGTGCAGTTAGTAAGGATGCACGATATTGGATCTTTGGCTGATATCTAATATGCCAATATGTTCAAACTTATTTGGCCAATACCAATATTTTTTTTCCTACACCTACATACAGAGACTGCATAGCTTTCTCTGCTGTGGAATTAAAATACGACATTATTCTGCATGCTCTTTGACAATTTGGTTTGTTACCAAATGCAGACGCCAAAATTTGGGCTGAAAATGATGCAACACTTCAACTTGGATTATGTTTAATGTGAAATTTATTCATGACATTTACTCTCCAACACAATGACAACACTGGAACAGTGGAAATTTGAAAAATTTCACAAATCTAAACTCAGACTGTTCACAAGTGAAAAGTGCATAAGTAGTAGTGCATTAATCAATATATTAGTATATATGCTTTCAGTTTCCAACGCTTAAAAAAAACAAAACTTGCGCACCACTGACATTTTGACTTCTTCCTCTCCCGCCGTGAACAGATCAGGTTGGCGCGCATGACGTCATAACATTGTGCTGGCGCTGCAGACATCCTTGTCACCGGGTTGTCATACAAAAACAGTGCCTTTTTATTTATTTATATATTATCAAAAACCAGCACCTTTTTATATCGGCGAGTTATTTTGATGGAATGTCCGATATTTAACTTTTATCGCGAATATTGGCCGATACCATGCCGATAATACCGTGCATCCCTAGTAGTTAGGTTTATTTTAGTCTACAAAGAGCATTTTCAATATAGTGCTTCCTTCAATAAAAACTTGTATGACGTTAGTATTTGTATGATGTTGGTATTTGTATGATGTTAGTATTTGTATGATGTTAGTATTTGTATGACGTTAGTATTTGTATGACGTTAGTATTTGTATGACGTTAGTATTGTATGACGTTAGTATTGTATGACGTTAGTATTGTATGACGTTAGTATTTGTATGACGTTAGTATTTGTATGACGTTAGTATTGTATGACGTTAGTATTTGTATGACGTTAGTATTGTATCATGTTAGTATTTGTATCATGTTAGTATTCGTATGCTGGCAGTTTCAGATGATGTACAGCAAAACGTTCCACTGATGGATTTTGTTAAACTTCTAAAATACTTCTGTTAGATGACAACACAGTTTATTGTTTACATATCTAAATGTAAATGGTTTAATATCTGTTACACAAATATTTATTGTGTTAAATGGTTTAAAATGCTAAACCAAGTCACAACTCCCTGTGTTTATTTATTTTTTAGGGACCTAACTGGGTCCTGATTGTCGACTGTTTTTTGTCCTCACACAAAGCTCTCTCCTTCATCAGCAGGTGTTTTTGGCAGCGCTCCGGTGTTTGGCAGCCCCCCTTCGTTCGGTGGCTCCCCAGCTTTTGGCGGCGGAGCCTCGTTTGGCTCCAGTCCTTCTTTCAACAGCCCCATGGGTTCTTCAGCTGGGAAAGTGTTCGGTGAGGGAACGGCGGCCTCAAACATGGGAGGATTTGGGTAAGAAGCCTGCTCTAAATGTATTTAACGTCTATTGATTTACTGTAGAAAGAGATTAGCACCGTTCATCCTTCTGTCTTTTCATGCACATGTTTATACTCTTAACTCTGTTTATGTTTAAATAATAAAGATAACACTTTAGCTGACAGTTGTCTTTAAAGAAGCGTTTGAAGTTGGACAGAAATATTTAAAAGACGCTTTGTATCATTCATCTCATTATGTCAAATCTATTTCTGTCTCTGATCAATACTTTTAAATTTGACTACACACTATGGTTATGTGTCTTGACATAAATAAGTCACTTTGCAAATTAAAACCACCCCACCATAGTATTTTATGACTGGCGCAGAGTTGGAGTGGATTATTTGAGCATCCTTCCCCTGAGCTGGACTGATCAGTCATTTCCACACTCAGCCGATCAGACGAGTTTCATTTTAAACATCAGGAACGTTTGTCTTGTCCTCTCTTGTCATTTGTGTTGTAATGGTTTCATCAGCTGTGTTTGTTGTGTGTCCAGCATGTTCATGGGTTTGCATGGCAGCAGGCTTGGCTTCAAGCCTAAAACTATGGATCTCTGCAGGGGCAGATTATTCCCCTCACATAATCCCACTCTGGGGTCATGCTGCCTGCAGATTAAACTGGCCTGCTCCCTGTGCTTCTGTCACAGTTTAGTTTTTGTTGTTCATGATGATTTGCGCAGGTTGATGAGTGGATTTTTGTGGAGAGGTTTAGATTCTGCTTAAATGTCTTCATTTTACATTTTCTACCTCACAGGACAAACAGGATTTTCTTCTTCGTTTCAGTCGTTTATTTATTTATTTATTTTTTTGTCATCTGTGTTTAACTGGTTTAATATCATCAGTTCCAGTCGCTATTTATATTTGTGTTTCAGTCAGACCTTTAGTTTTAATTCTCCCTTCGTGTCTGTCTGTTTTCAGCTTCGCCTCGGCCCCCAGCGCCCCTTCTTTTGGCGCTCTAGCCAGTCAGAGTGCTCCGACGTTCGGGAGCATGGCCCAGCAGGGCACTGGGTTTGGAAGTCAACCCAGCAACTTCTCCAGTTTTGGTCAGCCACAGCCCCAGACTGGAGGTGAGACTGCTATTTCACTTACACGTGCGTTTTTATTTATTTATTTATTTATTTGCTCAAATGGATGCAGTTTGGTTAAAAGTTGTGAGTGAAGTGATTCCAGGAAGTTCTTCCACCATCATTAGTGCTTCAGTCATAAACTGTTTAGTTGAGGTTTCTCTTAATGGGATTATTGGGCTTAAGGGACATTTATATAATTTTGTTCTTACAGAAAAATTCACATTAGACTTCAGTTTGTCTTGATATAAATACAATTGTTCACCAAGATAAAGCTTGCATGTTTGGTTTTGTATGCAGGAACTGTGAATAGCTTGTCCTTTTTAGCCGTGTCTGTGTAATTTCTTTTTTCAGCCTTTTTTTTAATTTTTTTATAGCGTTTTTCTTGTTGCCCCCAGCAGACACACACAACCACTTCTGTTTGTTTCAGATAGAAGACCTCCATTAGGACAGTGTCGTTCTTTGTTTGGATATATTTTAATGCTGTTCTAATCATTCCTACTTATGTCTGCAGGTTTCTCTGGAAGCACCTTTGGATCTGCAAACCAGTAAGTGTGATCATTCGGTCTTATTTTACGTTTTATGTTCTCAAACGCTCCCATCTGCATGTGTGCAGTGTGTTGTGCCTGTAGGCTGCAGAAGCTCCCATCTTCTTCCAGAACACTGCTCCCTGTGAAGCCTCTTATTTATACCTAATCTAACCTCATTAATGTCCTCCTCCTTACCTCTCTTTGCTTTAGCCTCCATTATTTGGCTGTGCTCATCAGTTTTGCCACCTTAAGTTAATAGGTTTCCTTTTTCATCTTAATGCATCTCATTTGAAGCCTCTCATCCACCACTTTCTACCTCTCCTGTTGCTTTTGTCTCCATTTGCTGGTGTGTGCGCGTCACGTAACGAGCTCTGGTTCGGAGGAATGCACTCTGAGGTGCGCACGATTGTGCAAAGGCCCGGTTTAGTCTGTCAGACACATTCACATGCTGTAAATAATCCTTTATCTCTCTGTTTTCATGTTTGTGTCTCTCCACACTCAGCGTGCTCCTCTTGTTCTTCGCACCGTAATCTCTGCATGCTTCAGAACAGCTGCCTGTAAATCCTGACAAAAACACAAGATAAAACTGACTGGGGATGAAAATTAAATGAAATGTTCTAATTAAATAACTTTTTGTTGTTTTGCCATATTGACATCAAAGCCAAAAGAGGCTTCAAATAATTTTATTTAATGCAAAATAAAGAAAAAAAGCACAAAGGATTTATAATTTAATGTTTTTATTTCCATTGTTGAAGGCATTTTCATTAAAGTAGTGTACAATTTCAAACTGTGTTCTTAGTGAGGATGGACATTTTAAACAAAAACTCTTTGAATTTACTTGGGATGCACCGATTCACTTTTCTTTTTTTTTTCACTTCCGATACCGATCTCTGCTGTTTGGTGTCTGCCGATACCGATTCGATCCGATACAGGAAAACAGTGCTGAATTAACTTAAAACATTTGTTGTTTTTTTAAAACGTAGACAGAAATGTACTGAATTACATATCTATTAAAACCTGCACCAGTAGAGCACACTTAAACTCACCACTAGCTTCACAAGCTTGGTCAAACATGTAAAAACAACAACTTTTATTTGTTCAGTCAGTGCAGTTATGAGTATAACATCCATTGTAAAATAAATAATTGTAAAGATACTGAAACTGACAAAAACAATAGGTTGACAACTTTGGTCAAACATGAAAAAAAATAAACTTCAACAAACCTTTCAAATGCTTCAAGAATTCTAAATATAATATAAAATAAATAATAAGGGATCGGAAATAAGAGGAAAAAACAAAAGCTTCACTAGCTTGGTTGGCAGATATTTAGAATAAACAGCAATCATCTCCTGTTCTTATGTCACACTGTCACCGATACCCGATCTAGAATTGTTTTTTTAATATAAATATAGGTACTGATACTAATATCAGATCATGCATCTCTTAGAATTTATCATAAATTATTGAGTTTTTCTTCTGTCGCTATATGCTCTAGTCTCGCCTGCTGCTTTATGATTAAAGGCCTGTGCTTGTTTCATGTTTTTCCTAATGCTTGTTGTGAATATCTGAATTACTCACCTGATGTTTTGCAGCTTAAAACCCTCGAATGAAACAAAGGCTTCAGGTACAGAGACATGTGCTGCTGCTAATCCTTCTAGCCAGGATTCTTTATCTGCCTTCATAATTATCACTTCAACAGATCAACGTGGAAAAGGAACGCTCGTGTTCTGTAAAGTTGAGCTCCCCCAGGACACCAGTTTCCACTTTATGACTCTTTCAAAATAAACTATGATCCAGAAACAAACTCTGGGACGAAGCAGTTTGGATTTGTTTGTTTTGGGGACAGGAGGTGGGTGGACTAAAATCCACTGGCTTGAAAAGACGTGTTGGGGAAACAACACGACGTGTTTACTACCAGGTGTCGATTAAATAAAAATAATAATAATAAATGTTCTAATGGTAGCTTTAATTCTTCAGATTTTCTACTAGATTGTGAATAAGAAATCAGCCCATCTTTAGTTTGTGTAGGTTTTAAAAGTAAACAAAAATCTTTTCATCTGTACAGAAAAACTGCAAAACGTAATTTACAACATTTTAATGAAACAAAACTGGTTTTAATTTTTTTGGGATGAGATAAATAAATATGAACAAAAGACAGAAGCTGAAAAAGTTTTTAAAAAAATGCTTCTTTGGTGTAGACGAGCCTAAACGTCCCGTATTTTTCGGACTATAAGGTGCACTTAAAATGCTTTAATTTTCTCATAAATCAACAGTGAGCCTTGTGTATTAATTCTGGTTGTGCTCACTGACCTGGAACAGATTTTATGTGGTGCACGGCGCTCCATAATCTGCCAAAATGCACTTGTTTCGCTTAATGCGCCTTATAATCTGAAAAATACGGTAGGTTTATAATTCCTCTTGCCTTTTCAACCCCTAAAACTTTCTCTTCTTTTCTGTTTTTTTTTTCCCCCTCCAGGTCACATCCTCAAACATTTTCCAGCTGGAGAAGCTAGTTGTTGTTTTTATTTCTCATTATTATTTTTAAACCTCCATCATCTGAGCTGTTCTGCTGTCGAGGCCACAGGAAGCCCGTCTTGTTTCAGTGGATAAATGAAGTGAAGACTCTTCGCCCAGCAGCTCATAGAAGATCAACATATTCACGTACATTTATTATGACTTTGTGTCTCGTCAGGATACAGTCGATTCAAGTATTTTATTTTGTACGTGCAAAGGCAGAAACGTGCGCTCATGCTGTGCACGCATCAGTAACTTCATTTCAGTTTTTGTGGCAAATTTAAAAATATATATTTTTTTCTACTTTCATGTGTGGAGGTTCTGCATCTGTGAACATCTTCATAGCGATGACTTTAAGTGTTTAAACGTTGATGAAAATTGTAGTTTTAAAAGTTTCCTGGATTTTTTTTTGTTTGTTTTGTTACGTTTTTTGCAGAACATTCTCCTTTGATGTATATTTTTACATGAAAAAGGTAAAAATAAACACGATTGAAACCATTTGAAGGTTTTAAAGTTATTTGGTGCAAAATGTAGCAGCAGAAATCAAAGTTTAAAGTTTTACTCCTATTTGTCTTTTTTTTAATTGAAAGTAAGTTTAAATGATCTAACAAAGTAGAAAAGTTATGTTTTTCTTTTTCAAAATTCTCTTAATTTTAAACAAGATGTATAAATTTTGTGACATAAAATAAATTCTTTGGAATGAACTCCACAAGTTGTCTCAGTTAAAACATTATTAAAAACTACATTTCATCTGTGATTTCTTTTTATATTAAAAAGTTCTGAATAATCTAAAAATATTTTCACACAAACCACTTTAAAGTCCAGTTTTTAATCCTACGCAGGGTTTACGTTCGCTGACGAGTTGGATTCTCATCCAGCTGTGATGCCGTGCGTCGTGTTTTCAGGTGCTCATCGTCCCTCGTGACCTCAGCGCTTCCTTACAGGAGCGGAGGAACTTGTCAGAGCGCGAGCCGCGTCGCGCTTTAACGTGTTGTGACATGAAGAATACCGTGGCAGGAAGCCCCGGGTCGTGCTCGGATGGTTCTGTAATTCTAAATCCTTCTTTACATGCAGCTCCTTCCTCCGTCTTCAGTCCGCCTCGCACAGAGGGCTAAACGTCCGCCGGCGCAGAATGATGATGAGGCAGGACGGTTTGTGGCATGTGGCGGCAGGATGACTTCCCCCAGCGTCGCTCTGTCAGCCTCCATCTCCCCAACATGGTGACCTGTACCACACGCCTGCTTTAAACAAAGGTTGGAGCTGGTTGGTGTCTGCGAGGGTAGAGGTTCACTTCTGTTCCAGCTAAAGAATTGGACACTGATTGAACCCACGGTCTGTAATGCTTTCGGCTGAAACGGATGAGCTTAGGAGATTTTCCACACCCACTCCACCACTGGTCTCAACAAAACCATTAAAGAAATTTTTCTTGATTTCAACGCAGATCTACGATGTACGGTTTCACCTTGGGTCCCTCGTCTACAAGGTGCAGGGCGAGACTCGAACACTCAGCTGTCTTTCATGGGATCGGGATAAAAATAGAGTCTAAGCCCACCGATTCCCTCCACAAGCTTCTCCCAGTCCCCCCACCCACTGCCAGATGATTAGCACTTCTTCGCTGACATTCATCATCTGCGCTCGTGTGCATCCTTCGGGCCTTAAGGTGGTTCTTTGAAGGTTGCGCTGCAGCCAGGCCGTAACGTGACGAAGTTTCTCCGAGTGGTGAACACCGCTGCCCTCATGGCTAATTTCACGTAATCCAAATCCAATAATCCACAACAAACGAGCATAACCTCGTCTCTGTTTTCCCTTAAATGTGCCGGCTTGATGCTGCACCGTGCTCCAATTATTCTTGGGCCACACTGAGTGCAGAAAACAGGACTTTTTGACTTGAGGTCAACTGTGCATGTCTGTTAGCAAAATATTGCATGAACCACTGGACGGTTTTAGAATCGATGCAATTTGAAATGAAGCTGCAGCTAATCAACTGGGTCAAAATGTTTAGGTAGAGTTCATGATTCACGTGGTCACCCTCTGCACTCCACGCTCTCACAAATCTTGAGATTTTGCATAAGTTGTGAAAGCGTCCGAGCCACGAGGTCCATCCTTTAATTACCTCTGCTCCTCTTCCTCGCTCGCCTCCCCTCTGCCTTTAACTCACTCGGGGATTATGCAGGTTTACAGATACTTGATACTTCAAAGGAGCTTTACGCTGACTTGCTTTAATTTCAAACTCCATTAGGTCTTCAAAATAAGGTGCTCCTAGAATTTTTCTTGCCAGCGAAGAGGAAGTTGTTTACATGACATGCAGCCAAAACCAGTGCGCCCAACGGAAATGTTACCACTCGGCTTCTTTGCGTGTGAATGGATTACTGTACAGAGAAAAGGCTTAAAGTCTTATCTATTAGACATGATCACGGATGTCAGGCGTTACCACGGGTGTGTGGTGGTGCTGGGGGAGGAAGGATCACCAGAACTGCACGAGTCGCAAAGGTTTTGTTGGAGAAAAGCAAAGAGTAACATCTGCAACTGAACCAAGTCTTTCTTTCAACAGATGTGACCCGTGCAGGCAAAAAGAGCCAGAATGCGAAAACTCTTGATTGTCGCCGTAATTTAAATTTTCATAAAAACGAGTCCGTAAAAACACCATGTTGTGATCCCAGTAAGTAAAATACAAGATAATCATCCTTATCTACCTTTAACACGCATGTCTTTTGAAACTGTCCCTTTAATTTCCTTTGGAATTGACCATTTTTCTCTGCTGGCTGCCATACTGCCAGGAAATCCCTTTGTATAATGTTTGGCTTTTTTTTTTTTTTTTTTTTTTTTTTTAAATGAAGAGCTGGGTTTAAAGATGACATCATTCTAATCTAGACCAATAAAAATCAAGATTTCAAACCAGCACTCATAAGCAAAAGCTTCTTTCAAGGTGATAAATCACCAGAACAACAAACGGAAGCTTTGGACGTGGAAAATGTGTACAAAATATTTACTAAATATTAAAAACTTCCTCACTGTGACTCATTTTACCAGCACACGTGACAATTACAATACATTAAAGAGACGGTTTGGATGTCTTAAAGTGGATTTCAGTGTTTATGAGCAAATATCTTACCTGCTGTAGATGACTCTGAACAGCCTCGGTTTAGAGAGGGCCACGATTCCAGTCATCTTCAATCATTAAAAATTTCATGGAAAAACAATTTCTTAGATTTTTACACTGCCATTAGTTTTGTATTATCTGGTTATTACAGCAGGACGTGCTCTGGGCGGAGCCAGAAGTGCTACAGCTTGCTGCTGCTACTTGTGCTTGAAAACAATTATAAAAATCCAAGTAAAAAACTGACTGTGAGGTAAAGATTGATAAAGTAGCATTTGCATTTGGAGTTGTTTTTAAGCTGTAGTTCAAAATTAAATGTTTTTGTTCACACTGAGGTTCAAAGAGCTATCTACAGCAGGTAAGATACTACCTGTGCATCACCTTTCCAGAGCACTCCACTTCAAAACGTCAGAATTTTAGTTGAAGCTTCATGATGCCCGCTGGTTGTAGCTCCACAAACATAATTTCATCTGGGAGGGTATTTTTATCATTATTTCATTTGTGCCCACCTGAGATTATTTTGGTTCCAGCTCCTGATTCGGAGTCGATACTTGGAGTAGTTAAAGCTGACGTTTGCTTCAGGAGTTCCGGAGCAAGACAAAGGTGGCTCTATGGCAAGCCAAGTGTCTCATTAATAGCCACTTTTACCTATTAATGAGACACTTTGCTTGCCAAGTCGAGGGCCCTCTAGTGGCTGAAAATAGTAGTGTTCAATATTTTCCATGTCAGAATGAATGAAATCACCAGATCTCAGCCCAAAATTGGATTATAAATATGGAGGGAAAAAAACATAAGTTGCTTCGCCATATAAGTCACAGGGCATGCAAATTTATGCAAAAAGATGCGACTTATATGGCGAAAAGTACGGTAGTTCTGGTTGGATTGATGAGCTCATGGCCAGTCCGAGCTGGGACTAGACAGATTGCTGCCGTTTTAAAAACGATGTGGACAAAAAGTGAAAATAATTTGTGAAATTACAATTTACCATTACAACATTTTGAGATTGGTGTTTTATTTTTTTAAGGTTACAGCAATCCACGTTGGTCCTTGCTCCTCAGACTAGCCGTTTGCTTGTCAGTCCGGTCAGATTTAAACTGTTTCTTTAAACTGAGGCCTTCAACGAGCTGTCTACAGCAGGTAAGACATTTATAGTTCATAGCCTTATCCTGAGCTCTGAACTCTTGCTGTAGGTCCCAATAACTGGAGTGAACGTTGTCATGTGTTCCCCGTCCTGACTGACAGTCCAGATGGCGGTTTGAACGTCTCCCTCTTACATAACTGCAGGGGTCAAGATTAGGAGGGATTTCTCTGCTTTGTTGCAGCTTTTTATTTCAATTAAAGTTGCATAATGTTCTCCGGATGTCACCTGCAGGCACTGAAGAGTCTCAAAGCCTTTGAGGGAATTTTAAATTTTAAATTTATCTCACAGACGGGCTTTGATGTCAGTAATGGTGTCTGACTGAAAACGCCAGATTATTGCTGCTGTTTTTGTTAAAATAGGTGCTCGCTTCATCTAGTTGCATATTTGTTTGTGTGTTCTTGCCATAATTTTCTGTTATTATGAAGGTATTAAACATGCTGCGTGGTCTAACGTTATCAAACACGTTGCTTAGATGATTGTAAGTCCATACGAGAGCGTTGAAACTTTGTTTTAAAGGGTTTAAAAACGTTATTTCAGCTCCAAGAGTCTGAGCACGTGTGATCAGGGAGCTTTAGTCCAAGTGGCAAAGATATGTCAAAGGTCAGCGCCACTGATTGGGCCGTGCTGTCGAGCGATACGGGCTCTGTGGGAGTGATAATAGGAAGGTCTGGGACGATGTTACTCTGGTTATTTGGGAGAACAAATAGCAACAGGTGGAGGTTTGCAGCCGTTTAAAAATAGCAGCTAAAGTGCTGCACAGGAATGTGAGCAGGAGAACGAAGAGTCTGCGTCAGGTCCACTTCACCAACACGGCTGTCCACGTGAACGTGCATTTTGTCGGGTAAACATGTGTTTTGTTGTTTTGTAGAGTTTGCAGAAGCGATTCTCTGAAATGAACATTAGCCACAATGCTAAGCTTTAACCTTTGCACTTTTTTACACTTTACTAAATGATAAACGGACACAACGGAGAATTTGGTTCAGCTCTCTGTAAATTGGTTCATTTCATTTTATTGATACTTTTAATAAGATCCA